ATCTTAATCCGCTGGATTACTTAATATGGCGCCTCATGAAGGCCAAGGCCTGTTCTAAACGCCACCCGAGTACAGCAAGCCTCAGACAAACATTGACTCGTACCTGGAATGAAATGGATCCAGACTACATTATTAGAACCTGCCGTGCATTCCGGAAGCATAATTGCAGCAATTAGAAACTCGATCGATGATTAACATAGTTTAAGACTCTGAGAAACATCTCCCCTTCGAATAACTAAAAAATTCGAAAACGAAGTTTTTGAGAATTTTTTTAATTTTGACATTGCTCAATGATGCAAACATTATCACGCATACAGTATACCACTTGAAATCACTTAAAAGGGATCGATTTTTGATGATCGAGTTCCACATGTGTTATCTGAGTTAACACTCCCTAAAAATCATGGAGTTTAACCTAAGAATTCCGTCGATTTTTCAAAGAATTCACTATGCCATTAGAATTATCATCAGAATCCGCTTAAATCTCTTTCCAGAATTAGTGCGATCGATTTCTCAAAAATCGATTCTCTTGGTATTCTTCTCGGAATTCCCATGGAACTCTCTTTAGAATTCACTTGAACATATTTTTCAATTTTCCATAGAATTGTTTGGAACTATCATCAAAATTAGATGTTTCTTGTTGCTTCAGCGGGCGGTTCTTTGATTGTATGGGCTGGAAAATCGTCTTGAGAATGTAGTGCGGAACTCACTCTTAATTTAAAATATCAATGATGATGCACTTTGTTCGATAGATTATAACACCCATATTGATCCACCGGACAGGTGAATAGAACCTTTGTTACACAGTATAATCTCGTTTTTGATATTATCCATAGATATACGAGGCCTTAATGGATATTTTTATTTTTATTGGTCTCAGTTTCTGAACTGCTAAATTGAACAGCAATTGCTAGTTTGAATTGGAGTCCAAATCATAATTCAATAATCAATAGATTTATGTCTTCACGTTTTTTTCCTAACATGACAATAATTTTAAGATATAAGTGTGGCTTATCTATGTGGAGCTGATATGAGTTTTACGTAGTGCGAAGTGTATATAAATCACTTTCTTTCTCTTGGCTTACAACTGGAGCTTTATGACTTTATACTTAATCTGCTTCATTGTGCTCTACATACTTTAAGCACAATCTTATTATATTGCAATAATATTTGACGAACCAATAAAGTTAAATAATCAATCAGCCCGATTCCCCCCCTCATCGATTTTGTCTTTCGCGAATAACCCGACTGCAATTGAATTTCCCATTCAGTGTGTTGATTCAGGCGCAAGCTAACTATAGTCTAGTCGCTATATTTATAGTCTGGCGGATAAAATTTCAATCAATCAACAAGCGAAACCAATTCAATATATTGTAGACCAACAATTGAAATGGTACTATCAAGTTTTCTAAACAAAACGTTGATTTCCTCGCCAATCGAACGCAAATTACCGGCATCATCGGATTGGGGAAACTTTCCCCAGCCCAAAGATGGTGTTAGTTTGCGTAGTTGGCGTCAGTTTTCACAGTTATCGAAAGTGCCACTCCAGTTGATGAGATATTCATTTTTGGTGACTTCAATCTGCCAGGCGATAGCTCTACATTTCACGCAGGAGCTATTACCCTTCTCGACAACTACAGCGCAGCGACGCTTTCTCAAATTAACCATGTAGTTAACGAAAATGATCGTAGTTTGGACCTCTGCTTCGTGAGCACACAGGACAGGGCTCCAGTAATTTCCTCGGTTCCTTGTGCACTAACTAAGCTAGTTCCAAATCATCCTCCTCTAATTGTCACTGTTGAGGACAAACTCGTGCGTGATTTCGACGATTATCCTGCTACGGTTGCTTATGACTTCCGTAAAGCTGACCACCGTAGCATCATAGATGTATTGTCTAGCATGGCATGGGAGAACATCCTTGATCCAGATGACGTTGAGGCTGCAGCGCAAACCTTGGCATATGTCATTGACAGACACGTCCCGAAAAGAACTCACCACAAAGTGTCTCACCCTCCCTGGCAGACGAGAGAGCCTCTGAAACTACATTACGTGAGGCTGAATCACATGTACCAGCGAGTCTGTCGTGAATGCTTTTCAAGTTTCTAACGAGGCATCCAGCGCAAACTTACAACTATTACATCGCTAAGTGCCGTTTCGAAGCTATTCGAGCTAGTGATTATGGAACCGTTGCTGTCCCATTGCAAGCAGTATTTGAGTGCTGATCGACATGGGTATACTGTCGGCCGCTCTACAACCACCAATCTGCTGTGTCTCACATCGTATATAACCGATAGCATGTCGAATCGGGTTCAAACGGACGTTCTTTATTCAGACCTATCCGCAGCATTCGACAAGTTGAACCATGCTATTGCGATTGCTAAACTCGGCAGGCTCGGTGTATACGGTAATTTTCTGAGTTGGTTTCGATCATATCTTACCGGTCGGCAACTAAAGGTTGCCATAGGAGATTGCAGATCAGCTAGCTTCTTCGCCACATCAGGTATGCCTCAGGGAAGCCACATGGGACCGTTGATTTTTATACTGTACTTCAACGACGTGCATCTGGTCATCGAAGCTCCTCGGTTATCATATGCAGATGACCTCAAAATCTTCCTACGAATCTGCTCCATTGCTGACTGTCACTTTCTGCAACGTCAGCTGAAAATATTCGCTAGTTGGTGCAGGTTAAACAGAATGGTAGTGAACCCAACCTAATGCTCCGCTATTACGGTCTCACGAAAACAACAACCGATAATATTTAGCTATGACATGCTTGGCTCGACAATCAAACGCGTGAATCAGGTGAAAGACTTGTGTGTGATCTTGGATTCGCAGCTTTCATTCAAGCAACGCATTGCATATGTTGTTGATAAGGCGTCAAGAACTTTAGGGTTTATTTTTAGGAAAGCTAAAAAATTCACTGATGTCTAAAATCTCTCTATTGTTCGCTTGTTCGATCGACGCTTGAGTATTGTCCAGCAGTTTGGAACCCAAACTACAACAACGGTGCCGAGAGACTTGAAACTGTTCAACGTCGCTTTCTTCGTTTTGCGTTGCGTAGATTGCCTTGGAATGTTCCGTTTCGATTACCCAGTTACGAAAGCCGTTGTCAACTTACCGACTTAAAACTTCTCCGGACTAGAAGAGACACAAGCAGAGCTCTAACAGTGGCCGATATCCTGCAAGGAAGGACAGATTGCGAGGCTATTCTGAGGCAAATTGACCTGAATGTTCAACGCCGACCGCTTCGTAATAACCTTATGCTAAGACTGCTTCTACGTCGCACAAATTATGGAGCATACGGTGCGATTTGCGGACTGCAGAGAACATTCAACAGAGTTGCATCCGTTTCAGACTTTCATCTCTTCCGTGATGCGCTTCGTCGAAAGTTTTCTTCTGTTTTTCGCCAACAGACTATAAGATATATGTTTTTTAATGTTTTTATGTTATGACCATGCTTGAATGTATATTTTTTTACTGTAGTTGATAAGGATAACATCATTGGGGCTTCATCCAGCCTGTTGATGTAAACCATAGGCGTGCCTTAAGTCAGGAGAAAACGGGTTCTGGAAGTTTTGTTCGCAATTGCTTATGTGTTCTTTTCTGTTGTTGGTCGTGATTTGACAGCTCAATTGGTCAAACAGCTATTTGACAGGTCAATTGGTTCCCGAGATTCTCTCCGCCAGGCTATGAATATAGCGACTAACAGAGCTAACATCATCTACTGTCGAACTGTCCTGTGAGCTTAGCGAGAAATTCGTTTATGTTGCCGTGGTTAATCAAAGAGAATAGAAGTGTTGATATCAATTTTCATCAATGTACATGATCAGTAACCAAGCAAGTATGGTTTATAGAAAGCCTCCCTAATAAAGAAAACCTAACCTTTCCTAGCTAATTAAGGCATAGTCAAGTTCATGATCAAAGCACCAGTAGCTGTTTAATGTGCAATGATGCTATAAAAAATCAATTACTATGGGCGTTATCCTCGAGGACAATAATCCCGAATGATGGATCCATAAATGATCCAATTATTGAACAATTCTGATTTTTCTGTGAAGCTTCCAATGGTATCAACTAAACAACCATTTTTTACATATTACAATAACCTTATTCTTCTAAAGCAGAAAACGGGTTTGCTCTAATCGCAGCCCTAGCAACCATTGTTTGAAAACAGTTGGGTAAATTATATGTTTTAATTTGATCATATGAACGCTTCCATATTCTTCCTGCTATTTGCTTTCGAACGCAAAAATAAGCAAACAAACAAAAACTGGAAAGAGCGACTTCAAGTGACTCAAACAAGGTTTCTCCTCAATGTCCAAAACCAAATAAAGGCATACAAACTCGAAACCAATACAGTTATCGCATTCGAAAGCTCCCAACAAGCTCATGGATACGTACGATGTTCATTGTTTACTTTCACTACCCAACCATGCCAAACAGAGACAAACACGCCCATCTTTCGGGCAGTTTTCAAATCAAAACCTTTAAAACAAGATAGCAAACTTGGATGACAACCTTTGTTGACGAAGAGCCCCACTGATTGACGTCAGCACTTCATGGTGTGACTTTTCAAACCGATCAATTCCAATTAGTGACCACAACCTGTCTGTGCGTCTGTCGGTGTCTGTCAAGCTAATTCTGCGATATCCCGGCTCAAACAGGACCATTATTACTTCTCGCTAATGTACACATCTCTTCCTTCTTTGCTTCCTCCCCCATCGTTCCGGATGCAATTTCTCCGGTGACACACTCCGCTACTGGCTTGTCGCCTACAGATGGAAGTCACTCTGTTTGTTCCTTCTTTTCCGCCGTCCGTCTGGCTTGCTATTCACACAACCACTACCACTACTACCACGGCCACTTCCGAACGGGAACACGTCTACTCATAACTGGTTTTCGATGTCGCTTTTAGCTTTCGATCGGCACCAGAAGGAACCCGTAAACTTTTGCAGGTATCATCAGCTTTGACGTTTCCCGTTCAGAGTAAAAACAATCACCACGACGACACGATTCCCTTTGACGATCCTCAACTTCCAGGAGCAATCCCAGGATAGTGAAATCCGGTTTCGTTGCGTTTTCTTCCTTCGTTCTTCCCGAGACAATCAACCAACAAACCTTCAAACTTTTCCTCCTCTTCACGATATGGCCGGATAGCTACTTGCTAGTGTCACTTGCCACCTCTTCAAAATCGAAAAAAAAATAACCTTTTTCACCGTCCCACTCTGCCCCTCACATATACAATCTCGCGCGCGCCTGGTGCTACGCACGCAAACACACACACTCACACACCAACTTCTTCTCCGAAGAACCAGCAGCAGCAGTAGAGCTCCTCCACCACGATTCCGACGACGGAAAGGAAAAAAAAAAGATTTCAAAATTTCCACACACTCCACAAGGATTTTCCGACACGTCACGCACAAATTCACGCCTGCACCGGAAGCAGATTGCTGCACTTGTCGCACCGGAAACCGACACCAAATTTCCAAATTCTTGCTGCAGGCAGACGGGCGATTGGGAAACGAAGTCTTGCTCGCTCTCCGTGTACGTACGTAAGCTACTCGAATCGGGACTTGATCTCGACGGGACGAAAAATTTCATTCGAATGCGAAAAATCAGCCAGCGAGTAGACGACCAGCGCCGAGACGATGACGCAAATGACAGTGACAGTTCGCGGGGTAAAACTGTCAAACAGGGGTGTTCATGCGGTTGGATCGCTAGCCCGAACACCAGATGGCGCTTCGAATCCATGTGATGCAGAAAAGGTCTGCACACTTAATCATGGCTTCCCAGTTCGGTAATTATTTTTTTAACAGTTTTCGAACCGTACTTCACAAAAAATACCAAACATTCAGCTATTCTCAATAAAACTACTGATGTTTCGTAACTTTTTCGACAAACTACTTAATACGGCAATAGGTAATAGCTAGGGGTAAGACAACTGTACCAACAACTGTACTCAGAGTTAATATATTTGCAGTGAGTAAATTTGAGTTACTCATATTTACTCAAAAACAAACAAAGTAGTCTAATATTTTTCATCAAATAATATTAAAACAATCCCCGTCTGACAGAATGTTTTGATTTCAAGATTTAGTTTTCATTCATTAAAAGATCCAAGTTAGATGGCTCTTGTCCAAGCCAAGGGATGTTAAGGTCTCTTTTGCTTTCTAGGATGGATGGCTAAAGCACAGACAAACAGACATAACACTCGCAAGTTGTTCATCGAACAAGCATTTAACGGACTATTTAAAAGTATCGTAGTTGGTAGTACCGCCACCTGTGGCACGCATAGTCAATTCACTTGCGTTTGACGTTTACACACTACCGCCATCTGTTCAGCGGTGTGCCCACCACAGTGTACTCAACAGATGGCGATAATGTTTTAACGACGATGTTTTACAGTGAGAAATATTCAATGTGTTATGTCTGTTTGTCTGTGGCTAAAGTGTAATGTTTTTGAAGTTTTTGGTGATGTGCACGGAGAACAAATTATAGCAGACGCAATTATTTTTCCGGTCAAAATAACTATATTGTTCAATTGTTTTAGAGATAACCCGAAACTATAGTTGATTTGACTATATATAGAGGGCAACAACTATAGTCCATAGTTGGCTCCTCGGTTGGCTCAACTATATTTTTCAGTAGATGAACAAACGCCAAATTTCAAAATACAACTATGCGTTAGTTGATTCAAGAAAACTATTGTTAGAAAAGCAAAATTTTACAATGTTCATTAAACGAACTGCTCTTTATTATCGACATATTAAATAAAGTTTGTTTTGCTTCTTTATCGATCTCAGAAACACAACTGCAAAATCATAAAAAAAAAGTGAACAAGAACATTCAACTTAGATTTGAACCGTGTTCATCTGCGTGAGAGCCAGCTATCTTATGGCCTGCTCTACGCATCACAAGTTAAAAGTATGTGGATTTATGATGATCACTTGAAACCAAATTATATAAATAAATTACATTTGACGGTTGGTATAATTGATCAAATTATAGTTGAATTGAGTACAAGATGAACAGTTGAATCTATTAGGTTGATATGATTGAGTTGACGGTCAAATTAATGTTGGAATAACTATAGGTTTCTTTCAAACAACAATATTTTTCCATGTGAAAGTAACTATTAGGATTGTTATCTTAACTTAACGAATTTGGTCTCCGTGTAGTGGTGTTAGTGTTTCCATATCCCAGCCATTTATAATGGATCATTGAAGATGCTGAGGTTTTGACAGAACCGTACTGTGGCTACCACAGTATTTTACATTGGTTCGTCCGTATACAGTAGCGCCAAATGAAAGCTGTGGTTGGTTCAAAACTCAGCCATCTAAAATGATCCATTACCCGAGAATCTTAAAAAAGTTGAAGACCCTTCCCGGAAATCGGGAAATATTTTCGGTAGTTATTTATTAAAACTTGAACTTCGTCAGGATTTCTCCCGGAAGATTTTTTCGACAATTTCTGGAAGTTTCTTCCAACTTCCCCTTGAAGATTTCGACCAGCTTCTTCTGAAGGATTCTTATGGTTTCTCTGGGAGGTTTCGTCTGACTTTGCACGAAAGTTTTTTCCAACATCTCCTGGAAGTTTTTTTTTAAAACTTGCCCTGGAAGAATCTTCCACCTTCTCCCGCAAATTTCGTCCATTGTACAACGGAAGTTTCATCATCTTTTCATTCCAACAGTATCAAATTACAATCAGAAGTCCTACCGCTGGAAGTGGAAACTATTTGCTATTTCATCCGGACTTCCCACGGAAAACTTTTCTGAATTATTCTGAAAGTTTCAACCGGCTGCCTAAATTTGCATGGAAGTCTCTTCTAACTTTGCCCGGGAGTTTCCCACAGATTGTGTCAGAAGCATCTACCGGTTTCGTTTGAAAGATTCTTCACCAGGAAGCTTTCCTGACTTCGCACTAAAGATTCGTCAAACTTTCTCCGGAAATTTCTATCAAGTTTCCCCAAAAGTTGTGTGGTCATTTTTAATATAAAATATGTTTAACATGGTTTTCGTATACAAAAAAACTGCTTCTCGGGAAGGCAAACTAGTTTTCTGGAAATCGGGAAATGATAATTCTGGTAAATTGTCCGGGAAGGAAATACTAGCTGGTGTGATTTCAAAACTAAGGAAGTAAGAATTTGGCCAAATGTTTTCAGAAGATTAAGTTAGCTCATGAAAATTAATACTCAACTCACAAAATCGGTCAGAGATTTCATATTTTGTTGCACTACATGCCTAAAATGTGGAAACTCATAATTAATAATTATTACACACAAAGAACAAAAATTGTTCAAATAAAAATATTGTATTTTCAAATTGAAAGTTTCTCAAAACTCGCAGTTTCAACTATGAAAATATATAAATCGAAATTTATGTTTTTGATTTGAAAGTGCTTCTTTCAATTTTGACGTGTAATTTTAAAAGTGCATTTTTTTAAATGAAAAGTTATTCAACTGTCAAAAATACCGACATTTTTCATAGAGCTTCTTGACGTTTAATCGGCGCACACTACTGCACCGTTTAAATCGAACGAGTGCGAGCAAGAGGAAAATAGATTAGTGGGAAAACATACCGTGCATTCATCCATGTGTGCTAGATAGAGAAAGACGATTAAACGTCAAAAAGGTCTATGGCAGCACTGAACCTTCATTTACCGCCTTTTTACATTTTTAATAGTGCGTTTCAAAATGAGAGATCAGTTTGTTCAATTCCGCCGGAAAAGTAGTGGAATCAATCCGGATCAAGTGCGAAAACGTGAGCATCGATTGGTAATGTTATTCTGATTGTGCGACCCTTTTTTATTGAGGACAATGACTAGGATAATGATGAAAAACGGAGAGAAATGGTGACGTTTCATGAAGATTTCGTTCTCTGGCGTGGGTGGAACCTACGTTTCATAAATACTTTTAAATAGCTTCCAGTAAATGATTCTCTTAACCCGGTCGCGGTGTTGACCTATATATATGATTATATTCAGGTGATTGGTTAGAAATTTAAGGGAGTAAATTTTCCCCATATGAATGCAAAGTACATACATATCGTCTTTTTCTCCACTAACAGCTCCTCTTCCACTCAATCAAGAAGCTATCGATTATTGCCATGGGTCTGAGCGAGAAGCAAAGCCGCATTTAACTGATCCTGAGCCTGATCCGAACATACGTGGGGCAAAGACAGTCCAATGAAGTTGTCGGCTATGACAAAAAGGCAAACCCTGAGATGGATTTAAGCAAGATGCAAGTGGGACTGTAAGTTAATGTTAATTTAATTAATGAAAATTAGGTGGCTTGTAATCTTTTCGTTTCCGGTTTTATGTAGGCAAAATCCACAGCGGAGATTGAAGATGATGACTGATTCGCACCGTAATTCGATTGCCTAGGATGTTGCTTTCCCTGTTCGGAGAGGAGAGCTACCGAATAATCTGTTCGCATCAGAACACGGAACCATCATGTTGTAATCGCTTTTGACCATAAAATACTACCTCCGGACATTGATGGAAGACCCCGATTCAGGGGAGCAACGGTGAACGAGAAACTGAATGGTGAACCCTTCCCAAAGCTGGTATGAACGATTTCTGTACCAGCGAATACAACGTGCATTGCCGTTGGAATCCACCAGGCTGCCAGTACCTGGTCCACGTTCGAACCGATGGACCCCCGTCCAAAATTGATCGTTCGATCCCCAAGGTAAAGATCGAGAAGGAAGACAGCCACGATGTCAACATCATCGCTATTAGCCTCGAAAACGACTAATAATTATAATTTATTATATATTTTGGAAACAAAAGAAATATATGTGTGACCTTTCAATCAAATTATAAAAACTTTAAATGTAATATTTATTTTAATTTATATTAAAAAAAATTAGTTATTATGTTGAAAATGCTTGGTTTTAAATTGAAAATATTTTTTTTTCAGCTTAAAATGGCACATGTTATTTTAACTATGCAGAATTTTCTCGTAAAACCTATGTTTTGAATTAAACGTAATCCACTTTTAATTTCTGCACTACCAAACTTTTTATTTGACAGTACTACAATTATTTTTAAAAGCTTAAACTTTTAAAAGAAAGTAGCAGGAAACTTTTGAATTGACAGTTGGATTACTTTCATTTTGAAAGCCAAGCGCTTTCTACCAAAAAGAACCAATGCAAACTTTTAATTCGACGAATGGTTTTTTTTAATTTTATTAGCGATTATTTTTTGTGTGTATTAATAATTACGGTCTTTTGTGATAAGTAACATTTTATTTACCAGCATTCATTAAGGAAGAGGGGTTTAAATCTCTGAGAATATTTAGCTGGAAAATGGCAGAGTTAGAGTCAACTCTCTCCAGAAGCGTTCGTTGTTTGCCCTGATACTCCTACAAACATCAATAGACACGAGTTGAAAAAGGTTGAACAGGAACAGGTTGAATTTTCATCGTCTGATATTTCTCGATGAACATTTCAAATGGTCCTATCTGCTTTGATCGATTCTCTTCATCGACTTTCTCTTTCGTCAATAACTCAGCTGCAAAACCTTTCCCTGTTGTATTTGACGTTTTGGACGCTAAATAAGAACCTCATTTATCAAACTATGTTGT